GTGCAGCAATGAATAATGGTGTGCATATGACCTTTTGAGAGAGTGTTTTTTGTCCTGGGGATAGATGCCTAAAAGTGGAATTGCTGGGTTATACGGAAGTTCAATTCTAAGTTTACTGAGAACCCTCCATACTGTTTTTCACAGGGATTATACCAGACAACATTCCTACAAGTTGTAGATGAGAGTTCCTTTTTCACCACATCGCCACCAATACATATGGTTCTGATTATTTTTTATTTTGATATGTGTCATTCTCAGTGGTGTGAGATGGTATCTCAGTGTCATTGTGATTTAGATTTCTCTGATGATGGTGATGCTGAGAATTTTTTCATGATGCTGAGAATTTTTTCATGTGCCTTTTGGTCATCCACCTGTCTTCCTCTGAGAAGTGTCTGTTCATTTCCTCTCCCATTTGTTGATAGGATTTTTAAATTTCTTTATGTTGATAATATTTTTTCCCTGAATAAATGTTGGTTTTTGTTTTGGTTTTGGTCTTGTGGGTAGGTGCCCAAAAGTAAAATTTCTTGGTGATATAGCAAGTCAATTTTAAGCTTATTGAGAACTCTTCATATTGTTTTCCACAGAGGTTGAACCAGACAACATTCATACCAGCAGTGAATGAGAGTTACTTTATACCCACATCCCACCAATACAGAATGTGCCCAGTATTTTGACATATGTCATTCTCTGGTGTAAGATATCTCATTGTCATCTTGATTTGGATTTCCATAATGATGAATGATACAGTGTAATTTTTCCCGTGCTTACTGCCTGCCTACCTTCTTCTAAGAAGTTCATTTCTTCTCCTCATATTTTACAGGGTTTTTGGATTTTTTTATTGATCGTTGTCAGTGCTTTATTCTGAATATCAACCTTTTGCATCATTCTTTTTTGATCCCAAAAACATTTATTTATTCATACAGTGCAAAAGTTCTAGAATAGGTGGACATTCGGAGACTAATAAAACATGTTTCTTAACATAGAGAACTTAGCTTGTTGTAGAGTCATCAGTACATTATAGGAAAGAGTGAAACAGAACTGTCTGTGGGGCAGGCTACTGAGAGTCTGATCAAAATGCATTTTGTGCATCAGTGTGAGTCAGTGGACTGTCACTGGAGCATTTTGGGGCCCTTCCTAGAGAAAGTAGCTTTAAAGAATAAAGAGAACTTCAACAAGGACAGAAACACTGGAAAGGCAAAGACATTATAGACTGGGTGGAAAAACAATACAGTTTTGGGAAAGACAAGAAAGCATTACCTCGCTGTAGCCCCACTTTGAATGGAGAGAAGGAAGGGAGAGAGGGAGGGAGGACAAGCAAGGACAGTTGGGTGGCAGAATGAATGGTTTGGTGAATGGTTTCTTGGAAACAAGAAACACTTCAAAAATTTTTTTAATATGCTCACTATGTTATAATATACTAAGTGGGACATGTAAACACAATGGTTGTCTGTCTCTTTGGATCATAGGATTTGATATCACCATTCAAAACTGGAAAACTTTTCTGAGATAAGGAAACTGGCTATTAGGAAAATAATCTAAGATTCTTACTTGAAGTCAACTCAACTTCAGTCCCAATCCTGCCCACTTATTAACTGCATAATCTTTGGAAATTATCTTCTACCAGGTTCATTGTATGCCTTTATAGAACAGAGATAGTAAAGTAATTTTTTCAGACTTTTGAAGTAGTCATATGAGTTATAGTTGTCACCTCTAGTAAATGTTTAGTACATCTTTGTTGCTTCCAATTATTTCTTTAAATTTGTAAATATATCTACTGAAACATGTTGTTTAAACACTTTAAACTTAAAATATCTCAGAAAATGTGTTTTTGTCCATTAACAGTAGTCTTCAAAAAAATGGTAATCTTCATTGAAAGTCTCAATGTAGCCAGACATTGCTATTTTAGTTTATTAATCATATATGTGATATAATATAATATATGAAATTGCTTTGTCTTGAACAAATGTTTCTTCAGTGACTATGATTTTCTCTGGTAGAACTATTGGTGGCAAACCAGGGCCACCTTCGCAAAGCCTCTAGGAGTTTGAAGCTTTCCAAATCTTGTAAAGAACTTACTTTAGTGGGTGAAACTGCATTTTAAAATTGGATAAACCAGATACACATCATTCCTTCCCTGTCTAGTGACCTCCAAATTTATTTCAGCACTGAGAAAATTTTAGAACTTATGATTATTATACTCACTGGGAATTTGTTCTAAATAACCAGCATGAATTCACAGAAGAACCATGTCCTTAAAGAAGGTCAAATATAGTATTGGACAAGGTTTCTAGCCTATAAGATCATTTTTGTATTATAGAATTATCTTTATTATTTGTCTATGAGCAATTGAAATTGGGAAATTTAAGTGTTTTTGAATCCATAATATTGCCTGTTATAGTATGGAATTAACAATTACCAATTAATTGAAGTAATAAATTAATGAGTGAATTTAAATCTCATGTTCTAAAAGGGCTGGAGCGATAGCACAGCGGTAGGACGTTTGCCTTGCAAGCCGCCTGCCTGACCAAGCCAGGTTCGATTCCTCTGCCCCTCTAGGAGAGCCCTACAAGCTACCGAGAGTATTTCACTCACACGGCAAAGCCTGGCAAGCTACCTGTGGTGTATTCGATATGCCAAACACAGTAGCAAAAAGTCTCACAATAGAGACGTTACTGGGCCTGCTTGAGCAAATCAATGAACAACGGGAGGACAGTACTACTATGTTCTAAAAAGAGATTGAGGAGTGTTGACTAGAAATTAAAACAAACTTAGACTCGATAGCATTTGAACAATCATGATTAATGAGTATACTCTTAGCCCTGAAATCAGTCCAAAAGCACTGTGTATTAATGCTGTCAGTATTAACATCAACACTCAATGGAGAGCAGAGCCCAGGTTAAGATAGTGCATGTGCCTAGAATATCAGTCATCACACCATTTCACTGGAGTGTGCCTCATCGGCACACAGTTGAGAAGGTGGCAACGATGAAGGTGCACAGATGACAAAGGACAAGTGTATGCATGCAAAACTGTTAAGACTTCTAAGCTTGCCTACCACCAATGGTCAAAATTTGCCTTCAGAGCTCCTGCTGAGAGGAAAGTAGAGCTGAAAGATTGACTCCAGATCACAGACAGCTTCAGTGCATGGAAAATAAAAAGAAAATCCATGTACTAATGAGTGATTTACCCACTTGGACTCTCTGAAAGAGCAGCTTCCATACCCGGCAGGAAACTGAACATGGAATCAAATACTACAAGTCTGTGTATTTGCAGGTTCCTTAGTGAACTACACAATTTTCTGGTCTACAGAGCCTCCTGTTAGCCAAAGAAATATTCTTAGTCTGAGCAGATAGCCAAGAATTACTATAACATAAAGATCCAGCAAGAGAGGAAAAAAAGGAAAAATATAATGCAATAAATAACACCTCTTAAAGATATATGTGTCTCTTTAAATAAATATATATGGATGTATCTGGACCATAATGACAGTATAGCAGGTAGGGTGCTTGCCTTGTATGTGACTGACCCAAGCTTAAGTCCCTGCATCCCATATGGTTCCCCAAGCACCAACAGGAGTAATTTCTTTTTTTTTTTTAACATGTTTCTTTTATTTTTTTTATTTATTTTTTTTTTTATTAGTGAAACACCATGAGGTACAGTTGTAGATTTACAATTTTTTGTGCTTGGGTTTGATTATACAATGATCAGATACCCATCCCTCCACCAGTGCCCATTTTCCACCACCATGGATAATATCCCCCCCACCCCCATCCCCCCATCCCCCCCTGCCTCTGTGGCAGGGCAATCCCCTGTGTTCTCTCTCTCCTTTTGGGTGTTGTGGTCTGCAAAAGAGGCATTGAGTGGCAAACATGTTCAGTCCATAGTCCACTTTCGACATGCATCTCCCCTCCTGGGAGGGTCCTCCAAACATCCTTTATTTGGTGTTCCCTTCTCTGTCTGAGCTGCCCTTTCCTCTAGAATGCCCGACTGGCCACTAAGCTATGGAGTAATCCTCCTGGTGCTGATCTCAGCTATTCTTGGGTATTAATCTCATATTTTGTTACTTTATATCCCCCAGATGAATGCAATCTTTCTATGTCTATCCCTCTCTTTCTGACTCATTTCGCTTAGCATGATACTTTCCATGTTGTACCACTTGTATGTAAATTTCATGACTTCATCTTTTCTAACAGCTACATAGTACTCCATTGTGTAGATGTACCAAAGTTTCTTTAACCAGTCATCTGTTCTTGGGCATTCAGGTTTCTTCCAGTTTCTGGCTATTGTAAAGAGTGCTGCAATGAACAAACAAGTGCAGATGTCACTTCGACTATACATTTTTGCCTCTCTGGGATATATTCCCAGGAGTGGTATCGCTGGGTCAAATGGGAGCTCAATTTCTAATTTTTTGAGAAACGTCCATACTGTTTTCCAGAAGGGCTGAACCAGTCGACATTCCCACCAACAGTGAAGGAGTGTCCCTTTCTCGCCACATCCGCGCCAGCATCGGTTGCTTTTGTTCTTTTGAATGTGGGCCAGTCTCTGAGGTGTGAGATGGTATCTCATTGTGGTTTTGATCTGCATCTCCCTGATGATTAATGATGTAGAGCATTTTCTCATGTGCTTTTTTGCCATTCGGATTTCTTCTTTGAGAAAGTTTCCCAAGAGGAGTAATTTCTAAGTCAGAGCCTGGAGTAACCCTGAGCATCCCAGGTGTGGCCCAGAAACAAGGAAGGAAGGAAGGAAGGAAGGAAGGAAGGAAGGAAGGGAGGGAGGGAGGGAGGGAGGGAGGGAGGGAGGGAGGGAGGGAGGGAGGGAGGGAGGGAGGGAGGGAGGGAGGGAGGGAGGGAGGGAATAAATAAATATGAATATATATATATCTATGTTTATGGCCCCAGAAATAAAAAAGACATTATCTCCAGTAAACAAACATGGTATCAGAGGGAGTTGGAGAGATAGTACAGGATAAAAACCACCTCACACTTATCTGTGCTTCACAGATGTCTCTGGGCTCACAGATTGATTTACAGAAGAAAAAGAGGCGAGCACCTGCTCCTCCTTCACCACAGCCTCCACCTCTGACCCCTGTCATCCCAACCCGCATGGAGGACAAGGAGGAGAAGAGGAGGAGCGCCACAGGTGAGTGGGCACGTACCGTGCATGGGATGTTGCTGGCATGAGATGTGTGCACTGCTACTAACTCCTGCAGTGGCTGCCACTGAGGGCAGTTAACCCTAACAATATTCACGCTGAAGAAAAAGCTGGACATGAAACACCTGTGAGTTCCCTCTGGACCTCGGGCACAAGGTCTAAGTCTGCTGTGGGCATGTGGAAAGAAGGAGTTGAGGAAGGGAAGAGAGGTGAATGTGGAGAGCCTGAGAATGGTTGTGTGACTTGTCTCTGAATGCAAGATATATTCTTGAATGCTGTTTTGCATGACATCTGACATTTAAAAAAACATGTGGATCCTAGAACTTATCATTAGTTTTGATAAAATTCAGTAATGTTTAGATCCCCTTATATAAAATTCATCTCCATTTATATACCTTCTAGGTATGTTACAAAGGCAACTGTTCTTAAGGAAAAATATAACTCAAAGCAAAGAAGGTGGATTCTCAGTAATCATGAGAGATCTGCTTCATATTATGGCCCATCTGCTTGTGTTAGAGGTGAAGTCAAGAGAAGTGACAAATGCCACTGATTTTTGTTTTAAAACCAGTGTTTGTTCTTTCACTTAAATAATAACAGAAAGGGCTCTGGGTGTGTAGGGCTCCTGTGCCCGACACCCTCTGGTTTCAGAGTGCAGTAGTGTTCACACCAGAGCATCACACTCACTCCTGCTGCAATAGTACACTTAGCACCCCCCTGTCTTTCCTTTAATTCAGTGCCTAAAACATCTAAAGGAAAGAAATTCCCAGAATAAAAAGTGCATTTTCAAAAGTGGAAACATTAATATGAACTACTGGCTCTTTGTCAGCTTTTTTTTTTGGCTCTAGTTAATACCTCACTTTTTAATGCCTTAGCATTTCACAGCATGGGATTTGGTTATCCTAATAGATAATATCCTATATCTCATATCAGTTCATCTTTTTTTCCAAAATTAAGTGTTACTGATTTTTAAATATATGATGAGTACCTCACTATGATAAACCTAATTTTCTTCTTTTTCATCATGAGACTATTCTGATTTCCAAACTGTTTTCCCACTCTATTTCTAGTTTCCCTGGTTAAAATTCTAAAAAACTTACACTTTAAGTGATAATGTCATCCCAACCTCTAGACCCCTATTACATTTTCATTTAGAAATAAACTCCTGATTCAGCCACAAAGGACAGAGATGTCACGTCCAGTGAGCTTTGGGAATCAGGCCAGGCCTGCAGTTGGCCTGCTGGCCAAGGGTATCGGAAAATGAAGGTGGTGTTTTAAAATTGGGAACACCAGTGGAGGGAAGTTGACACTGTTGGCGGGATTAATGTTGAAATATTATATACCTAAAACTAAACTATCAATCACTTTATAAATGACAATTCTTTAAATAAAAATATAAATATAAAAATTTAAAACTATAGGGACTTTTTTTTACTCAAGAACTTGTTACAAGGAGAAGGTATTTGTATAATAATCCATACCATCAAAATATCCCCCTAATCCATAGACTTTGGCCTGTGAGGGTTGAAAATAAGGACAAAAGTCACCGAAAACAACTGAGTGTTTTCTAAGTTGGAAGAGCGTGGAAGGAAATCGTTGGCCGTCTTAAGTTAGTTGCCCTTCTCCATGAAAACCCTCAGAATTAAAGCTACGCTGTCAGCAGCACCAGCAGAACTTTAACCAAAGGCTTGTCTTTACTAAGTTAAAAGCTAAATCATTTTTAAATATAATTCATATCCATAATACAATATGTAGGACTGGAACCATACCACAGCGGGTAGGGCATTTGCCTTGCACTCAGCTGACCCGGGTTCAATTCCTACGCCCTTCTCGGAGAGCCTGACAAGCTACCCGAGACTGTCCCGCCTGCAAGACAAAACCTGACAAGCTACCTGTGATGTATTTGATATGCCAAAAACAGTAACAGCAGGTATCACAATGGAGACATTACTGGTGCCCGCTCGAGAAAATTGATGAACAACAGGAGGACAGTGCTGCAGTGCAATACAATATGATATGCATCTTTTCCATTCATAAATTTAGCAATAAAAAGAAAGTTTTATTAGCTTACTTTATTAAAATAAAATAAACCTATTTTTATTAAAATAAAAAGTTTACTTTATGAAAATAATATAATAGCTGTTTGGATTGGGACCTTGGCCCAAATTTCTTGATAAAAATAGAGCTTCAGTAGCAAGCTTGGTCCCTGTGCCTGCACGTTGAGGTTGCCTCCGCGGGTAATGACATTTTCCTGGAGGGAGCAAATGGCTGGTTCTAAAAAAGAAATAAATAGTTATATTTCTTGGCATATTCAAAGCCATAGGGCTTTGTTCTATTCAAAGCCATAGTGTATATTCAGGGCGTTTGCCTTGCAAGCAGCCAACATGGCCGACCCGAGTTCGATTCCTCCGCCCCTCTCGGAGAGCCCGGCAAGCTACCGAGAGTATCTCGCCCGCACGGCAGAGCCTGGCAAGCTCCCCGTGACGTATTCGATATGCCAGACACAGTAACAACAAAGTCTCCAATGGAGATGTTACTGGGCCCACTCGAGCAAATCGATGATCAATGGGAGGGCCTTTACCTTTACCTTTTAGTTTTCAGAAAATTCTGAAAATATGTATATGGTATATTCAAAACCATAGAGCTTTGGTATATTCAAAGCCATAGGGTACATTCAAAGCCATAGGGCTTTGAATTTACTAATTTTCAGAAAATTCTAAACTTTAAAAGTTGAAGAAAGTATTTTAAGAAAATATATTAGGGCACATTTCGTTTTGAATTGAATATCACACCCACATACCACCTTGGCATATGTATTGCCTTTTACCTTATGAGGTTCTCTTATCTCTCTCTCTGTTTTTCTAAGTAACTCTCCTTGACTCCAAAAAGAATATTTAGCACGACTTATGACACCAGTAATTCAAATATCTATTATAACATTAATATCTATTACAAAATTTTATTTATTAAAAAATCCATTTTATATAAAAATATAAACCTTAAATGCTTAAAATAATCAAAGAGGATTTCAGTGGTGGTTTGAGAGGCAAAACTTACCAGCAGATACCATTTCTCACCTTTCTCCAACTCAGGATGCTCCTTAAATCATTTTGAAAGTAATTACTCCTCAAACTTGAAGAGGTTGGTAATGTAAATGAATGACCTGAAAGAGTATGTTATATTAATGGTATTAGTGATTATTTTTCTAAAATAGAAATGGAATAGGGACTAGACATAAGAAAACTACATGATGGGGCTGAAGCAATTATACAATGGGTAGGGCATTTGCCTTGCATGTGACCAACCCAGCTTTGCTTCCCAAATCCCCATTGGTCCCCAAGCCTGCCAGGACTGATCCTGAACAAAGAGCCAAGAATAAGCCCTAAGTGCTTCTTGTGTGAACCCAAACAAACAAAGACCCACGTGAATAAACTTTAAACAATCTGTGAAAAACAGTTATCATGAATAAAAAAAATTCAGAGTTGTGTATGGGGCTTTTAAAAACAGTTTTAAGCCTCTTATTTAATATATAAACTTACAATATTTGCAAGGACCAGAGAGCTGGCTCAGCATGCTGAGTACATACATTGCATGTAGATGACCAGGTTCTCTCCCAGTACCATGAGATCTCCTAGGCACAGAGTTGAGACAGCCCCTAACCCCATCCCTGTCCCCCATTACTGTATCTGCTAGAAACAAGTTACAACCAGAGAGTGTTTCCAAATAGACCGAAGTCTAGGGCACTCATTATGTAAAACATTGAAGTATGAGCATAGCTGACTGTGATTCTGTGGAATTGGATTTTGTGCCAGATAATAGTTGAATTTGGTGCCATTGGATTAGATTTGGTGCCATTTGTGGCTGTATCTGGTACATGGTATGACTGGATTTGCTGTGGACTATGGTTGGACTTTGTGCTGAGCATGACTGGACAGTGCCAGGTGCGGCTGCATTTGGTGCCAGGTATGGCTGTGTTTGGTGTCAACTGCAGCTGCATCTGATGCCTGAGAGGATTTGGCAGGGGGTGGGTGCTGGAGTTGAGCCCCTGATGGAGGGCAGTGTCTCTGGATGCAACCTTCTGAAGTAAACCCCATTGATTTTATGTAGGTGTTGGACGACTGGTACCGCAAAAGCCTCCCAGAGGCACTTCTCGGAGACCTCCCCAATTAGTGCTCCCCCCACCCCCACCCTACCCCCCTCCTGACATAGACCTGGCTGATCCGCTGGGTATTCCTGGGGAAGGAGCTGTTGACGAGGCCTCTGATCTGAGACTTACACGTACGTGCCTCCTATTTTTTTCCCTCTAGGTGTTGTCCTTAGAGTCTCCAGTCTCTGTTTCCAGACCTGCTGTTCTTGCCTTGGGTGTTTTTTTATCTTTTTCTTTTTTTGTTTTTTCTTTTGGGGGGAGGTTGTCTTTCCTCTCCAGACTTTTATTCTAAATGCTCAATGCAGTGTGTCCAGCTGACAGTGAATGCTCTCTAGAGGCCATGCAGGTACTCAAAGGATACTTAAACCCATGCTTTGTTCAGATGTAGACAGAATTTTATCTAGTGGGTGTGGGCAGTCGTTGTGGAGCTAGTGTTCCTCCAATTAAACTCAGGCTCAGAATTTGTGCAAACAGCAGAGAAAACCAATCCTGAATTGCTTTGGTTGACAGATACCACTTTGTCGAGCTATGAAGTTCAGAGGAATGTGGTCAAGAGTGAGGTGTGGATTTAGAACCTGTGAAGCATCAGAACTGCTGTCCTATGGGAAAGGAACAGAGGGGCCTCAGGAGGAAGCAGCTGCAGCCAGCGCTAAATACTCACTTTTACTATATTTCTGGCTGCACCCTAACTGAAAGCAGATTGTCTTTCAGTGATAGGTGACCACTCTGCTTATTATTCAGGTGATAGCATCTATGCATTGACCTGAGATCCTCTAACCACCTTAGCTACAAAGATACTTTGTGAGAATTCAAGAACAGTCCAGGATGGCATTTTCCTGCCAGAGAACAGTAGTGCCCACATGTGTGCAGCATCTGGTCTGCCTTTTGACCTTCCACCAAGTGATGCTTGCTTTTTTAAAAAAATGACTTTCTTGGAAATGTCAACTGACTCACCATCAGCTTCTAGGAAAAGAAGAGAATTGTTGAATTGCCCACTTCTCTGTGAAAAGAATCTTGATTCACCTTCTCTTTCTTCATAACTATTTTTAATCCTAAAATTATTTTAACCACCTTGGCATTGGATATGATTCCAAATGCAAATTACTAATAAGGAATTCAAAAATGAGATTACTCACACAGGTGGCAGCTGATGTTTAGAAAACTTGGAGTAGTTTTTTTTTTTTTATTGAATCACCATGAACTAAAATGATATTTATGATATTCTTTTAGGTGTATATTATTTCAACACCAGATTCTATTTCCCCCTACCAGTGTCCCCAGATTACCTCGCACCCCTGTGACCTGCTTCTTTGCCAGGCACTTTCCCCTCCCCATTGTCCTAGTGTTCTCTTCCCTAACTTATCCCTCACTCCTACCCTAGTGCCAAGCTTCCTACTGAAGGTCTTCCTACTGAATTGGTCATTCTCCTACTCTTCATTTCTGTTACCATTAGACATGTGATATTCCCCTAGAGGAAAATATAGGCAGCTGTCCATGACATTGAAGCAAGAGGCATCTTTAAGGATGAAGGTACTGACCAAGCAAGTAGACAAACAGTGAGATTACATTAAATAAGAAGCTTCTGTACCTCAAGGGAAAAGATGACCAGAATAAAAAGACAGCCCAGAGCCTGGAGAAATTAATTGCCCACCACTCATCTGACAAAGGATTAGTACCTAAAATGCATAAAGCTCTGGTAGAACTCTATGGGAAAACAATATCTGACTCTATCAAAACTTGGAGCAGTTTCATCTCTGGAGAGACTCGGTCTGAAGCCCCCATTCCAAAGGCTCTGAACTTCCTTCCAGGGGTCTCTCTTGGGGTGCTCTCCTCACTTACGAATTCTTGCAGGATTAAGGGGGGGCGGTACATAGGTGGGGCTTTATCATCTGCACCTCATTACCCCAACCTAATACAAACCTGAAGATCAGCCTCCTCCTAGGCCTTCTGCTGATAAATATGCAGGGGAAACGACAGTCCCCAGGTAAGGGGCTGCTCAGAGACTCATGTCAGGCTTTCTCCTGGTGCCTGTAATTCTGTGCAAATGTTTCTCATCCCTGCCTTCAGCAAGGAAGAGGTCAGAGGAGACCACTGAGGCAGCACCAATGCAGAGAGACTCATTGTCCTTGCCTGTGACTGCATCTGCCCTCGCTCCATGATTTCTTTCCCTGTGCTCATTTCCCCCAATCCATGCCTCAGTCACCATCCCTGCTTCTCTTCCTTGCTATTTCCCTCATATACTTTTACAGAAATGCTAGTGAAGAGTAAAGTAGAAATAAAATAGAATCAAGCCCTCAGAGGTGTCAGGGGTCCCCAGGACCTCACCCAGACCTGGTCCATCTGCAGTCCCTCTCCCTTCTGCCGCCAGGCCCTTCCTCTGGCTGTGTGAGCACCAGAGGCTAATGTTACCATTGCCCAACTTTTATTCCACTAAATCAGTAGACCCAGTTGGACTGTGCTTTAAGCAGTAAAAGCTGGGATAGTTTACTCATCTAGGCAACAGGCAACTTGGCTTCAGTGATTTGACTGTATCACTGTATCACTGTCATCCTGCTGTTCATCAGTTTCCTCAAGCAGGCACCAGTAACGTCTCCATTCGTCCTAGCCCTGAGATTTTAGCAGGTGCCACATTGGAGGCTCTTTCAGGGTCAGACACATCTTTGTTACTGGGTTTTGGCATATCGAATATGCCATGGGGAGCTTGCCAGACTCTGCCATGCGGACAGGATATTCTCGGTAGCCTGCAGGGTTCTCCAAGAGCAAGAACCAAACAATAAGAAGTTGTGCGGCCACAAATGCGTCTGTGTGCTTCCTGGAGCTTGGTTTTATAGTCTCTGGGTCTTGGCCGTTGATGGGATTACACAGCGCTGGGGGCAGTTGGTGGGTGTAGCACCTAGCTACTGGAAGATGGGGGATCTGGGTGAAGGAGGCCTAGTCCCAATCTGAGCAGCCTTGGAGATCTCAGCCCCAGGTCCTGCATACCTGGGTTCCTCTGCCAGTTCCTACATGCATGAGGCTCATCCGAGCATGTGGAAAGTGGTCTTATGCATGGCTATGGCTGGTTCCGGATGTCTTCAGCTGCCAGGACTCTGCTCGGGTCAGGGAGGGAAACTCAACTGGCCCCCTCCAAGTGGCCCTGGTAAGGACAGCCAGACATGGGGGCAGGAGACTCTGCATTGTTCTCTTCCAGGAGCTTTATTTTTATAGTGTTTAGTTTTTAGGGTTTTTTTAGTTTTATAACGCCAAGCTCTTATAAAGCAACATAATGCCTACCTATTTCTATCACAAAAAAAAAATAGTGGAAAGGAATAACTTCACCCTCAGGTTTGCTTGATAGAAAATGGCTTCCTGTGTCCAGATTTTTCTCAACTAGGTTTATTAATGGCACAGAAAGCACTGTTCTGAGTTACTTCTACTGTCCTGTTTAATCTCTTCCTATAGAAGATGGTTTTCAGATGGAAAACTTCACGTATTCCTTTTAAACCATCCATTTCCTTTTTGAAAACCTCATTTCAATGCCTATTTCTCTTCTGCAAAGTATTCTGGCTTAGATGAAATATTCTCTGGATGGAATATTTCCCATGATGGAACAGGAATTAAGAGTTTTTTAAAATCCTTGTTCTCTCTCTGTTCATAGAACTAAAAGTGAATACTTATAACCAGTGTAGATGCCCATTCTTGACACTTTGGCCAATTGACAAGATGGGGGAAAGCTATTAATTCTGCACTTTGAGCTGAGGTTCCCCCAGTGAAGCTCTGCCTTCCAATGCCCTTGTCAGACTAGTGACAGCATGTACAACATTGAGTTCCTTTATAGACTCGGCTGCTTACCTATAGCCAATAAACCAAATTTTATCTAAATTACCCAAAGTGGGTACCTTTTAAACCAAGATTAGAATACATTTGTTCAACCATCTCTGTAGAATTAGAATCTGATTCTTACAAAAAAACAAGTTACAGAAACATGGTTTTCTCTCCACCTTCATTTCATTTCAAAATTTTGCCAGATGGGTTAACAAACCTGACTTGTTCTTTTGCATAAACACAGCAAGATTAGAGAACTCTCCATTTGGGGTACCCTGTTATTTACTGAGAAGTCCTGGGGGTTGGTTAAAGACAGGAGACACACCAATAACGCCATTAATTTTATCTGGCATGTCAGAGTTACCCATACCTAGCCATAAGATGTCTCATGATGAACTGGATGGCCTTGAGCCTTCAGATTGAACTGGATGTGGCCTTGGGCCTCATTTTCCATAGAGGTGTCCTGGCAGAAAGGAGTTCATCCCATCCCTTCTTCAGGGCTGGGAGAGATCCTTGGTTTCCTGTTTTTTTCTTGATACTGAGAGTAGGTTCAGGATGAGTTAGTCATTACAGATTTCCAAATTCCATTTTATCCATAGCAATGATAATTTCCAGTCTTTCCTTGAGCTGGCTTGCCTCTAGGGTCACCCTGAGGTTTGTAGGGCACTTGAAACAGTACCTGTTAAATACCTCCTCCTGTCATCTAGACCAGTTCCTTGACTGTTTCCCTGGAAGAGGGATTTGGGGATTCCATAAATAATTTTCCAGTCTGCATGAGAGGTAGACCCTATTACACAGAGGAAAGAGTTTTATCTGGTTTTATGCAGTGGGTTAGGTCTTTGAACATTTAAGGAAATTTAATTCTTTATTGTCTTATTTTTAAATTTGTCACATCATTTTGTAATCTAGGCCTTCACTCACCTGAATCTAAGGGAACCTATTTAGGTGCAGGAGTTGTGATATGAATATCTGCCTGCTCTTGGCATAGGGATCTAACCTATACCACCAGTGCAATTATGGTATTTTGAAATTCCTGAATGAGAAACCTCAAAGGCCATTTCATACTTGCATCCAGATTCTGTTGAGCTCCTCTTGAGTACAGTGTTAGACCTATGTTTCGTATACAAGAAATAGTATGTTCGTGCTGCAGTTCTAGTCTGGGTATACTTGAGGACCAAGTGATTAACTGGATGTCTTACATGGACAGTTCCTGGCCCAACCCATAGCTACGTATAATAAAGTCTGTTGTTAGGGAGAAACTCGGCTGAAGAATTCAGGTCATAGTCCAGGGCCTAACTCTTGAATAGGAGCAGCTTGAGTTCACACT